ATAACAACAATAATAATGAAATAATATGATAATGATAAATAATAATAATTTAAACTAACAGTAAGGTAATCGCCAGTTGGTATTGCCTATGTTTGTTCAATCGTCTGTTCATATGCACACACTATACCCATCGTTTGCACGAATCAGTATCCATGCTTGTATATATCACTTTCATGAATATTTCAGTGTTTTCAGCCGACAGTGTAAGCAATAAACGTTATTTGAGCATATGAAAAAACAAATTTAAATGAGATTGTTTGTGAATATAGCTGATCTTTTGAGGGCGTTCATATGGTTTATAATGCACAAGGACATCCGAGTGGTGAAGCGTTCATTCAAATGGATTCCGAGATAAGTGCGGCCACTGCGGCTGCGATCGCACATAACAAGTATATGCAAATCGGTAAGAAACAGCGATACATTGAGGTTTTCCAGTGCAGTCCCGAGGATATGAATCTCGTCATTACCAATCCTCCTTTGCCACCGCAGCTTGTTTTGCCTCCACGACCTCTCTATTCACAACGTAAGCAGCTTTTTCATCTGAATACCCTTTATGAACAATTCTCAAAATGCTATTAGTTTCTAATAAGATACAAGGAGTGCTTACTTATTATCGTTTTTTTTTCACATGGTCTAAGAGTCATCAGCTTTGTATCATTCGTATCTCTGTCAAAGTAGCAATAAGATTCGAGCATAAATTTCATTCACGTGGTAAGAATGTATACTTCATTTACAAATGAAATTGTTTCATTGTTTGATTCAGCTGCAAATCCAGCAGCGGCCGTCACTGGAATGGTTCCTACACTAATAACGCCTTTTACACCAGTCTACTGGCCATATCCAAGTCCTCCAGTCTCTCCAAATGTTTATCCATTACCTTCACAACCAGGACTTGTTCTCATCACTGGACTATGTCCAAACATCACACCACAGGATATTCTCGCTTATTTTCATTCAAATCCAGAGGTTTGCCTCATTTTCATATGTTATCACCGATTCGTTCCAAACTTCAAACGCATACATTTCATTCGTCTTGAAGTCATTTAATCCATGATTGGTCCATCAAAAACGCCTTCACATCATTAAAGTAGCATTTGTATTTATTTTGAATTTGTTTGTTCAGAAGTTCAGGCAATTTTCTGAGCAGAGAAGTGTTAGCAATTGACGGTACTGAATAATCGTCAAAGTTATTTTGATGCTCAAATTACATCACACGCAGCCATTAGTCAGAAAAAAATCAACGTTTTTCGAGAATACTAAAACGATTTTGATCATGAATGGATATCAAAATGGATGCCTGATTTAAAATGGAGATTAAGCACACAGTTTTGTTCAGTAACTGTAGTCACGTAAGAGAACCGTTTGATACTGTTGGATGGATAACAGTTATGTGTTAATTTGATAATTTTTTAAGATTGCTGCAGAAAGTGTACAAATGCTGAGATGGGGATCAGCACAATGTGCAGGTGAAGCTTTGGTTCGATTCCGTTCTCGTATTGATGCGGAGAGAGCGCTTGCTGAACATGTTGGAACACAACTTGGTGCTGCACCTATCAATTTGTCACTCATTCATACTTAACTTGTTGACAATATACATATGTATATATACATACATACATACATACATACTGAATACATTAAAAAATGTCATCGTATGACAGAAATCAACTTTATAACATGTTCTCTAAGCCAAAGTTCGTAATTTCAAATTGGAAACGTCTGAAAAGAACACACATATCATTGAAGCATGTGTTCCCCATTTTAAACTCTGTTTGTTTCACTCTTGGAATTATCTCCTGTGAATGCTCAATTGCTTCATTAGCAGCCGATACTATCGCGATCCGTATCAGAAGCGTAGGAAATATGTCAATTTTGAACACTCGGCACCATTTGAATCAAATTAACTCAGCTAATCGTACAGCTGTAACAAAATAATTTATTCTTTGAGATTTTAATTTGAAACTGTGATTACGAAGTTACTATCGTGACTCCCATGTGATATTCGTCTTTTTTGAACAATATTTGTCTGTGATTACGATAAGTATTTATATGAGATAGTTTAAAAGATATTTCATTAGTATTGTTTGTTATATCAGTGTGAATGATTAACAGTCTTTTCACGAGTTGTGCCTTCTTCATTGTTGAATTGTTGCGTTGTTGGTTTTGGCATTCAGTAAGCCTTGTATGCAATCTGTAAAGTGCCGAAAAGGCACCCATCTGAAATGCACTCGATGCTCAATCTAAGCAAGCCGCTTTTCAAGCGGATGAGACTGAGACCTTGTTACTCTAAGTTAGGTGTCTTGGGTGCATTTTACTTGTTATTAATCGTTTGAACCTTTCGCTTGTTGCATGCGTTTCGAAGAGGCTATTTTTTGGTTACACGATTGCAAACGTTTATTGAAGTAACTACACTTGTCTCTAATCATATTGCTATATTTGATATTATCATCACTGTTGTAAGTAACCGTTCGCTTACAACTGCTGTGCACCGTATATTCCCGGCTCGTTTCACTTTCAACTTTTCTGTGCCAAAAAAACGGGGTGAGTTGCGCCTTATTATATATTGCTATTATACATGATTGACGTTAACCGATTTTCTTTGTTAACTTTAATTTAATCGCTTTGGTATTTTTTTGTTCTTTCTAATCCGATATTGTTTTGATAATTTTTCAATTATACTTTCCATATTTCTTCTCTTGCCTTCAATCAGTTCACTCTTTGAATGTTTTCCACGTAGCAGCGATGCAATACATTAGTTGTGAATCACGTGACGTGTCTATCAATCAACAGTTTTGTTCGCACTCTAATTACTTTATTTCATTCAATAAAATTTCTCCAGACCACACTGAACAATTCATGCTTTTATGTTTCTCAAAAATGAAGTTTTGAAGCAGTTGCATCCATTTTCCTCTATCGAAAATTCTTTTCTTGGCTAAAATGAATATCACGTTTTTATTTTGTTGATGAATTTATGACGATTTTGCAAGATTTTTTCCACAAAACACAACATACTGCCTTTTTGATCGGTTAATTTTCAGCGAATTGCAAGCAAATATTCTGATGGCATCGTCAGCATTTCAAGGAGATCATACTCGGATCAATAGCATAACATATCATACATTTACTCGAATCATATTATTTGAGCTAGTTGTGTACGATTAGCAAGAGCAGATTTAAGGAAAAGATATAAAGAATAGAAAATAGAATGAAAGAAAGTATATACATATCTCAAATTGCTCCAGCTTATTGTTCATCAGGATTTTATCACGGATATAAATCCGAATTAATAGATCGGAGTCGGCCTTTAAATATTTGAAACGTTTGGAAAGGCAGTATTTTGAGGTGATAGATTCCAGGCTCTAACGACTCTGTTTACGAAGGAGAATTTTGTAGTGTTTAATCTGCAACACTCAACGGTGAATTTGAAGGAATTATTATGGCGAATGAATTCAACGCTTGAGGATTATTTGAAGAATTCATTCATTGGGAGATCCGCTTGACATTGAATGATGTTGTGGGCCATACAAAGATCTGTATGAAACCTTCGCAATTCTAAACTTTCTAATCCTAATATTGTTAGTCTCTCCTGGTATTTAGGTAAATTACAAAAATTTCCACGCAGCTTTTTAAAGATGAAACAAGTGTATCTTTTTTGAATATTTTCAATGATATTAACCTTATGTTTGTCACCGTATGGATCAGAGGGGGACCAAAGGGATGAACCATATTCTAGGAGTGGGCGAACATAGGTTATGAATAATCTGCTTATTAGTGATCAATCTCTGGAGCTGAACGATCTCGATATGAATGATGCTCTGGTGTTTGCTTTTTTGAATATGGTGGAAATGTGTTGGTGGAATTTTAAACTTGGGTTAATTATAACGCCAGGTCTCGGACGAACAAAGAGGGAGCTAGTTCCTGGTTTTGGATTTTGAGAGGATTGCTAGGATTTTTTTAACCAGTTCAAATCAATTTTGTTTTTTTTTCTGGGGATAGCGGTAAAAGCCAGTATGATGACCATTGGTTTATGGAGTCAAATATAGCTTGTATGTTGCAGGTGAATGCAGGTACTCATACCGAATCAAACGCTTTTCTAAAGTCAAGATATATTGTATCGACGAAGTCCCTTTCGTCTGAATGAGATACACAATTTTGATAGGATCGAAGAAGAACCGGTGTGGTTGATCTTTTATCGAGAGAAATATATGGAAACTCAATACCTTCAAAGCGTTTCTGACGTCACTATGAAAAATCTAATTCATATTCAAAATGTTATCAGGCTCTGAAAAAGTTTTCTGTTTGTCACCGTTTCGCATTGAAAGGAATGCTGATCGCGTTTTGATGGTAAAACGATACAAATGCGTCAACGATTTATGATTTATTGAAACCGCATTGCAGAAACGATTGAATTATAAGTATTATACGTATACCCATATATATCGTAATATAATGATCAGCAACAGATATAAATAAAAACTGTAAATTGAATGAAAATGAGCTGAATTTGTTGGTGACGCAGTGCGCATCCCTCATCTCTTCATTTACGACCGACTTAATCGTTGCACTCAGCAACAAGGTCAAGGTTGAGATGCGATACACATCTTACGTTAATCATCGTTAACCAACCGGTTCTTATTGCAGTGCACTAAACATCTTCGTTTTGTAATCAACACCAAACATTTTTGCTATAGCTTGATGCTCATTCATTGTACAATAAAGAAAATAAGCACAAATCACTGGTTGTTTTGCAGTGAGCATCACCAAAATTGCCAAAAGTTTACAAAATGAGTTGGTTTTTGAGCCATAAGCAACAAGCATTAATCAACACTCATTAATGTTCTTATGCGTACTCAATGTTTCAGGAGTATGTTGATGGATTATAAACAATATTTGAGCAAATATTGCAATTGTTTTTAAGCAACATAGCTGAACCACTTTCTTTTGCTTGAGACGTGAGGCGAAATGAAACAAAATACAGATGAAGCAAAACTATCTCGTTTTAGGAACGCTGAATTGCGCTCCATCCTTGGATCATCCATGTCTTCGTATTTCGTGTGCACTATCAGCACATGATGAAAACCATGTGAGTACAGTTGAAAATTTAAAATTGTCATTGCTCAAAACGCCGTTTATGATCATGAGAGAAGCGATGCTCAAAACAGCCTATCACTTACTATTAGTCTCTTAAAAGTAGTAAACAACCGTTTCAAACACATAATTAATAACTGAATCGCCTACAACGATCGTGTGTGGTCCACTTAGTAAGTGTGTGAAATCAATTACGGTAAATCTATGAAAAATATTGTGTACTAGATCAACGAATCTTGACACTTTTTAAAAGCTGGCATGCGGTATACAATGAGTAATTCAACTGAATCCGCAGTTCCGTTTTTTCAAGAGATCGTTTGCATATTGTAATTCAAGTGTACTATGTCACTGAGACATTGTAAGAACATGCAACAATGCCTTATAGGTACATTTGATAAGCTCGTACAATGTGATTGTAAAAAGCATTGGTTGGTTATAGTGATCAGCTGATAATATATCGTCCTCTTCATTCTACAATCCTTTTTTAATTCAGTTCATCCAATGAAATCGAGATTATGTGGAAAGATTTTCCACTGAAACGAAACAGTTCGAATAATACAAAGATTTACTAGAAGTATGTCGTAATTTCATGATTTTCATTTTTTGGGTTGATCCTATCTTATTCTAAAGTATAGTCACTTGTTTGCTTGCTGTTAGTGATGAAACACAGTTCAACGATTGATCGCAGCAAGGTCAAGTTTCATTGGCTTAAATCATTCGCATAAAAGTTTCGATTTTGCTCCGTACTGGCTTTTAGAAAATCTTTGATCATAACATTCTACTGTTCTGTAAGTCCTTCAATAAATCAGTGACAATCCTTAATCGCATTCAAGTGATATCTTGTTTTAATCACATTCCCTTCATGACTTTATCCAATAAAACCGTTGAATTTAATCAATGAATTGCATATTTACATGGAAACGATCGTTAAACTAAACTATGATCTAGATTTTGCCCTCCAAAATTGCGTCACTTTGTTTCCTAAAACTGAGCACTTCACTCAGAGTTTGCGTCTTTAATTTGTTGATGTTTCCAAAATTCATTTTGTTAGTTATTGAGCGATATGTGTGATTTAAATAATGAATGAAAAGGAAGTGAATGTTGAGAATTCTATGAAAAACTTCTGAAAGCTATTACGAATCAGAGTGAAATGTTCACGTCGATGAGCGCATTCCATGTTGACATTCTTCAAGTTGTTAATAGGTCAAAAAATCGACACATTGTACCAACACAAGTCAAAGTGAATGATGCGGAAGCAAAGAGTTAACGGTTTCGATGAGAAAACAAAATGGTAAGACATTGACCTAAATATATTCTCTCTGAATAACGGGGCTCCTCTCGTTCACACCTCAACGATAATTCCTCTTCTCCTTAAATGCCTACGAAACATCATTGCTTTATTTATTCGCATATGTAGTTCAGCTCCCTGCACGTTTGATGCGTTGCTTTCCTGATTTATACGCTTATAGTGATAAGGGAAGGAATAAAATAGTTCGATAACGGACTGTATTCATGCCAGCATTTTAATTCAGTTGTTTATGCACTTTGATGCGAACTGCGGATTTACTGTTCTCAACTATTTATTGGTTTATTTCCACGCAAACTTTCAGTGATAAAATATAGAAAACCGATGGATGTGCTAAATCACGCTCTATCTATCTGGCTTATTCCGCTCACTCCTTCAATGTATGCATAATAGTTTATACATCAGTGGCGTAAATAGAAAATTTTTCGGACTGATGACGGAATTCTCGAGGAGAGGGAGAATGGGGTGGTATGAGTTGGCTGAATGCGGTGACGAAATATAGAAACGCTAGGCAATTGTACTGAAAGTAGCAGTTTTTGGAATTTTTTTGGTAATGGAGAGGAAGGTGGGTGGGGGAAGAAAAGTGATTCCTTTCCCCAGTGTATAGTGATTTGTATGTGATCTATGTTGTATATTTTTAAATTCGTACAGAAATCTACTTTTTACAAAGATGTTATCTTCAAAAGTGATAGTAAGGTGGTGTGTTACTGGCGTTTTAAGGCAATCTGACCTTTTATACTTCACAGATAGTTTGTGCGCATGGTATAGTGCACTCACTTGATCAGATTTAGATGAATGTACGCATGTGTAGCAAGGACAAACGCATTGTTGCACATTCGTAAGTCTGTGATCACCACATGATAATAATCTTTTCAGATTTTCCGATTTTATATTATGTTACCGTTTGTGGTGATTTCATTTTAACTGAGTGTTTATTTGATTGAGACTGTTACTCGTTTTTTAACTTCATTAACAATTATCAAGTCAACCACATAATCAAAAATTCCGTTCGTTGAATTCCATTATTCAGTGCATTCATTCGCAGATCCTCCTTAACCCATTTCTGTTATTAGTGTGCAGTAAAATTTGGTTGTTTTCAAATCTGTGGAATGCATAGATTTCATCTCTTTCACTGTTCAAGTTTTCAGAGCGCTCTATTGCGTTATCTGTGAAGACGGACGTGGTTGAAGTCATTTCGCGTTTTAAATTGTGTTCGGTTCAAACACCTATTTAGAATTCCAACATAGGGAAGAATAAACACAAGTATTATTACGTCACCGTCTCTTTCGTATTCCTCCATCGAAAAAAAATCGGTTCATTGAAATATCACTTTGGGTTGAACCACTAAGATACTCCTCATGCGTGCCAATTCGTTCGCTACATTACAAGACTCCTCGAGCGTTTCATTTCTCAATATATTTGCGATATTCCGTTGTCACCTTTACATGCCCTCACATCTATTCAGTGTGAACGATTATTCATGTCACGTTTCGTTGCAAAGCAAATTTGCACCTTTAAGATACAATTCTTTCTACATCTTTAAATACCCAGTCGTTTCCATTCAACTCATTTCTATCAGCGATAAAGCTCCTTGATATCGATGATCAATCGATCAAATACTCATATGGTTTTCCATACCGCAAGCATCCTCTAGCCACTTACAAAATTGTGCTGTTCACTCCTCGATACATTTCTCCTTTTGTCGTTTGTTCTTCAGCCTTAAGCAACATTTGGTTTTCCTTTTTAAATCGTTCCAGTCTAATAAATGCTCACTCAATGCTTTACCCGACGTTCATGTTCATGCGCAGTTCCACTGTGTTAGCATCGCATTTTGTGTCATATAATAATGATAAAATCACTTTGAAGTCAATAGCAAAAGCACTTTACCTCTTTTTGACCTAACTCTCTCAGTAAAAAGGCGGTGGTTTTCGGCAGCGGTCAGCTATCAAGGTTTCAATCGATCCCTTTCAATGCAGTGCATTTGTATATGATAAAATCATTTAACTGGCATAAATTATCACTTCTACTAAATTTCTTTCAATGGATAATACTCTTTATATCTGTTTGCGAAACGAATTTATTCAGCTTTGAGTGAGCGGGATTGAGTGAAGTTTATTGATGCTATGGTGACATCCAAATGAACGTTGGGTGTTTATAGAATTAAGTGATATCATTTCTTCAAATCGGTGATTCACACGAAGAATGATAATGATAAAGATAACTGTCGTCGAGCAGAATAATTGCAACTTATGATGTGTACTGTGTATGATCGAAGCATTGATCGTTTCACTTCTGATGGGAAACAATTGAAAAGAGATCGATTTTGTTCGATTGTGAAGTGATAAATTCAGAAATGAAGATAAAAGAGTTGTATATGATAAGCTGGTTGTCTAACGGCGCACTTTCCTGACCAATCGGCTGTAAAAAAATGCGCCGCCTTGATTGCTGATAGCGCGGTACGGTATGGGACGAGGGCGTTTCAAGTTGAGTTGCGCAACTATGCACCACCCAAAGGAACTGTCATTGACCCCGAATGCGTAACATTAACGGAGCAGAGCACCACTAACTTTATTCATCTCGTTCAGAAATCATCATCGCAACGATGTGGATCACTCAGCAACCATTGCTCAACATTTTTACATTCCTTATCCTTACACTTATCAGTGTACAATCACAGTCAATTCGTAAGTTTTATCATTCATTCATGCAATACTTTTTTAATCACAAATCTTTTTAAACTGATATCCACATCTTTCACCAATTCATCTCGCTCTTTTAATGCTAACTAAATGAGTAATCAGTGAAAATTTAACCTCCCTTCTCCAACCAACTGAATGCAATCATTTCTTAATTCCCCCTGATCAGATAACAATTACCCAGTTCATTGAATAATTTCATACTGGTTTGTGCTTCCTTCGCTGCTCACGTTTTGGATCAAATTTCCTTGATATGCGACCAACTTCTTATTGCACCGTAAAAGATTCCTGCAAAACAATCTCCATTTCTTTTGCTTAGATCATCATTGGTCATTAGTGCGATTTGACGTAGAATAAATTGAATTAAAGTGCTCAACTTTTCTTATTCATTCTTTATAATCATTGTTGTAGATTTTTATGCTCACCGCAATAAGTCATTTTCTTGTAATTAGTTCTTTATTATTATTAATATTATCACTATCATTATTTTTTTATTATTATCACTGTCATCATTATATTTTTCATTATTGCAATTCACATTCTTACGACTTTTGTTTTTAGCTGCCTATTCAACGTGTGATGATGGCGAATCACCAATCTTCCTTCTACAGCATAATGCGACAGCCGGTGACCTAATCAAGAGAACCACTACAGCCACTCTTAGTGAATGCACAGATCACTGTGCTGCGAATGATGTATGATAAACAACAAATTGTTCTCTTCGTGTTTTTCATCATAACACACCCAAGATTATTCGTTTGCTGACACTGTCCGTTAAGTAATTATATCATCTCAGCAAGGTGAACCAGTCCCAAACAAGCATACACAGAAATACATTCCTGTCTGCAAAAATCAATTGTTACTGACACATGTTAGCTGGAAGTTTATCAGATGCACAAATCATATCATCTCGTTTTCAAAGTCTGTCACTTGGCAAATCTGATGGCTTCCATTTTTGCAGGCTTGTTTGGGTGTCGTTTATGAAGGCAACTCGTGCAAGCTGTTATCATCAATTGTCGATAGAAATGAATCTGACGAGCGTTTACTCAGTAAAATATGTGTTAAGGTGTGTTTCGGCTCCACATTGTTCACTTTCAGCAAATGAATTGAATCTTATGTTTTTGGGCTAATCACTTTCAACCACAAACTAATGTGAAATTAATTAAAGCCGTGTAAAAATTTTCATGAGAATATAGTCATGAAAAATTATTTTTTACAGTACCCATCAAATCCATTCTTCAAAAGGCAGCTTTTTGTTTCAGAGTGCTCGTATTTGCTCATCACCGTTTCAATTTGACGTTCATGAACAAAAGATTCTGGTTGGATTCGCTCGTGAGGTGCGTTTCTTATTTACATGATTGTTAGTGCTAATGAGCGAATATCGAGAAGAAGATTCAATGATTTTGACAACCATCGCATAAATGTTACTTCGTGCACTTCAAATTTCAAACAATTGTCATAGAAACTCATTGTCAGTGAAGGCCAGTTTGTAATATCTTAAGTAAATGTGTCTCGGGAAGAAGGTGATCTAGCTTGTCGCATACCGGTTCCAACAAACTAGTGCATCAATCATCATCAACCAATCAAAAATATTACAAATTCTTCTCTTATTTCAGGTTGTTTCGGCAGATTCCTTATCGATTTGTTTAGCAGCATGCTTGAATGCTTTTGATACGTTCGGTTTTGAATGTGAATCAGTGATGTATTATCCGATTGATTCAGAATGCATTTTGAACACAGAAGATCGTCTGGATAGACCAGATCTTTTCGTTGATGAATTCGACGATAATGTCATCTATTTGGATAACAACTGTGCTGGATGTTCGTATAATGCTCATTCTTATTTCATTTCACTCATTTACCTGTTTATCAATCCGTTTTTCAATGTAATCTCGTCCATCTCAGAACAAATGCACTGCTTCAATCAAACTGAATATGCATTGAAATATCGTTACAATAAGCGTGACTCCATTCTTCTTGTGCTCCTCCCACCAATTCCTTCGTACCAGTTATGAAATATGCATTGCTGAATATATTCCTTGGGCTTCTGACTCAATAATTTTGATGTGGATAATTTGAAAATAATGATAAACTATCATTAATTCACTTTCAGCGCAGTGCTATGCACCATATGTAACTCAGTATATTGCGGTTGAAGGACGTCAGTTGGCGAATGAACTTGATCAACAGTTCACAGCTGATCTTGAATCGTGTGAATCGCTGTGTACTCAACGATTATCCACATCGGTTTGTATCCAATTATCAGCTGTTTGTACGGTCAACTGAATTTGTACCATCATCCATATATGATTAATAATATAAAAATAAGTGTCGTCAAATGTTATTGATCGTATGGACAAGAAAGCGATATCAAATAATTTTCTAATTGCTGTAGAATAACCATATCGTTCAGTTCATTGTAAAAGATGATTCATTTCTCTTCATCGAAAAGTCATACTTTTTTGTTCGTTCCATTTTACATATCTAGTAGAAAAATCAATGAGTGAAACGATTCATGCGAATGCTTGAGCTGTTCATTTTTCAGGCGAACGACTTCAATTGTAAATCATTCATGCACAATGCAAAGACGAATGTATGCATCTTATCTGATGAACGCTCGAAGCCGTTAGGACGTGCCAATCTTCTTGATGCGGATGGATTCACATATTACGAGAAGAAATGTTTTGCATGTGCGTTTCTGGCTTCTATCCACGATAGTTCACTCAAAATCACTTATTCTAGATTTTATTCACAATCCCTTTTTCTGGATATGATTTTTTTTTAAATGAAGATTTGTAACAATCTGTGCAGCTGTTGTCATACCCAGTTCGAGAACTGATCTACCTTATATGGGCTGGATTTTGCTGGCATAAACGTATATGATCGATTAGTATAGTGATATGTTTGTTCAGCAGTCTAATCGCACCCAAACTTGCGCCTCATTCAATTGAGTGAATATCTGAATCGCTTGTGAGTTTCACAGTACATCAATTTCATTTCAATAACTCGTCATCTCCAATTGAAGGAATTTTAGCACCACGCACATGTCGCAATGTCCCATCGTTCCGTCGTGTTCCACAAATGATTCTTGTCGGCTTCGCTGCCTTTGTCATGGAGAACGTACCATCAGTAACAATGTGTCTCGACCAATGCACTAAGTTAGTTCGCTCTTTCCATTAGCTGTTATTGTGGAAATGCTTAATGAAGTAGATAACAACCTTCGATTTTCAGTCCACCACCGGAGACTGGCGATAATTTCGTTTGTAAATCAGTGATGTATTACTATAATGAACAAGAATGCATTCTGAACGCAGAAACGCGTCAAACCAAACCTGATCTGTTTATTCCTGAGGGTGAGGAATTCCAGGTGAGTTTTTTGTTCGTTCCATTTTACATATCTAACTGAAAAATCGATGAGTAATTCTTCTAGGAAACGATTCTTTTTTTTTTGTGCTAATGGATCAGTTACAGGTAGATTATTTCGATATCAACTGCCACCTTGAGAGCGAATCATGCCCTGAGGGAACAACGTTAAAATCGATCCGTACACTGAATGCCGCACTTCCAGAAGGGGATGGATCCATTCACATTCTGCAGTCAGCTGGAAATTCAGTCGGGGAATGTCTTAACAAGTACGGTACCGATTTGTCTGTTTGATTGATTATTCTCATTGATAACAAGCAGTCATCCTTTGCTATTAATGAAAGATTGATAGTAGATGATTCATTCATTTTATCACAAAATTATATCCGTTCGGATACAAGCTATGCATATTCAGGTTTCAATTATCAATTCCGACCAGTCCGGGAGCTGGATATTCAGTGTGTTTGATAAACTTTATCTATTTCACTTTCAGGTGCTATGAATTATCTCCAGATAAATGCCGTTCATTCAATTTTGATAAGCAAACTTCTGAATGTGATCTTCTGTACGTTGATGGCAAAACAACATTGCGGCCATTCGTTCGACCGGGTGTCGATCTCTATGACCTGCATTGTCTTGCTGGTGAGAGTGCATAAATTTCGTAACATCTTCCTTGGCTTATATTTTTCAATTTAAAATTTTTGCATTGCGATACGTTTTTTTTTCATTTATTCTCTTTACTTTACTTGAATAGGCTCCGTAGGTAATCTTTGGGAGTAGGAAATGAATATTTTGACTGAATTGCTTCGTTTTCAATTCATCAGTACATCTCTCTTTCTTATATCAAAACTGTGTATCATTCGATTCGTCACTTTGGCTTGACGAAAAATCGAGTATTAAAATGAGTCACTGAGTTCATAAATTAAATTTGCAGATGCGACGGACTGCTCACTAAACAAGGATGGTGCTGTATATTCGCGTTATCTATACAGTAAGCAAACCGGCATTCCAACCGCCCAACATCAAACCGTCGCCCTCAGTAGATGTCTGGATTTGTGTGCTGGCGCTCAGAGGTTACTTTTTTATAGAAATTGCAGTGCTATCACAATTTAATATCGACAAACTGAACGATCCACAAACACCATCGATGCAAATACAAAATTCACTAGTTCACCAATTTACCATCAAAATACTGCCGCTGAATGCACTTTAACGCTTGTAATCACAAACTTCACTTCCAGATGTGAAGGCGTTAACTACAATAGACGCAACGGACAGTGCGATTTGTTCGAGCAAATTGAAGGAAATGGTGAACAGAATGATTTTGTTGATTTCTACAAGAATTTATGCTTGTTGAAAGAGGTCGACTCGGGTATTAGTTCGGCAACTAATGTACCACAACAAGAACAAAAACAGCAAAAGGCATCCGGCAGCAGTAAAAGCGAGACCAGCAGCTCAACAGTGACACGAACGTCCTCACATAAAACAGATTCAAAAAGCGAGCTTCTTAATACGAAAAAGGTTATCTTGTCATCTGATGTACGTGATTTTTAGGTCACTCCTCTTAACGCATTTGCGGGGTATTTGAAAAATCGTCAGTTATTGAATGGATTTTTCTAGATAAGACCAATAATCCGCGAGCAAGAGCCACAAAGGCGTGCACCTGAAGGACGTACTGTAAAAGCGGAAGAGAACGGCAGTACAGAGATGCAGCAAGAAAGCGAGAAAGAGTCATCGATTTCGGACGCATCGTTAACTGTATCTGATTCGGAACAAGCACCTGCTGTGCCAGTTCTGATTAAGGCCGATGCCGTACAAACGATCTGTAACTATGAAGGCATTAAAGTTCAGGTGGGCATATCAGTCATTATCAGTCATTATATATGATGATGTGTGTTCGCAAATAACGAGAGCGATTAAAATTTAGGTGAAGAATAATGAAGCATTCTCGGGTGTTATGTTCGTAAAGAATAGATATGATACATGCCGTGTGGAGGTGTCGAATAGCGACAGTGCTACACTGGTTCTTGGTCTGCCAGCTGATTTTGGTATGCGCTTGGTTACGCAAGAGCCCGACACATCCTCAACAACAGACACCGAGGATGGAAGTGAAGAGAAGATCGAAAAACCAGAATCTGAACTGCGAGCTCGTCGTCAAATTGATGAGACGATACGCGATTGTGGTCTTCAAGACATGGTATAAGCCTACTACCGAATAATTTTCATATACAGAGTATGGATAGGTAGATAGATAGATAGGTGGTCGCATGACACATTTCAGATTGATCCTTATCCATGTAAATTTGATAACAAAAATTTGCATCCTCCTACAGTTTGCTCTAATGAATTTCCACATAATATTTTGGTGAAGCATCTTAAAAACAAAATGACAAGTGATGATTCATACGAATCGTAAATGATTGAATCAAGACAACTGTGATTAAGCCATGATCCGAGATTGTCACATGACTTTGAAAATAAGAATCGCATTTAATCGATGTACTCTTTTCATTTTTGCAGTTGAATGGAACTTATAAAACAACGGTTGTTGTGCAAACCAACAATCTTGGTATTCCTGGTTTGGTGACATCGATGGACCAAATTTATGAAGTCAGTTGTGATTACAGCTCAATGCTGGGTGGTAAAGTTACTGCTGGTGCCAATCTAACCATTAGGTAAACATTAACTTTTGTTAACTTCTACTGTTCGTCGCTCTGAAACCCAAAATAGTCCTGTGTTCCTCTTGTACCTTCACAGAAAGGATCACGATTATGCTGCGAATAATGAAGGAAGCGGTTTGTTCCGGATAACTGAATTACGATTGTATAAGGGTGCAAACCACGAAGTGATTCAATAATGCATTAATGACAACTTCGATCTGTGATCAGAACGCACCGATAAACGACAAAATGATTCTGATCAAATGAAATAAATTTTATAAGTGTGAATTAATTCCTGCAAAAATAGAACTTTCATTCGTTACCACCAATACAATGTAATAATAATAATAATATTTTATTCGCATGTCAATATGTACTCTCTCAAAACTGAAATTAAACAATTGCAGTGGTCCAGAAGCTTCCTTGATACAACCTCGAGGAAAAATTGAACTCGGCAATCCAGTCTTGATGCAAATGCTAAGTGGTGAAGGTGGACATCAACCTGTTTTGCAGGTACGCTAGTGTGTTAATCTCCGAACAATGAAAACAACTGCACTCCGTAATCAGTTCTGATTACCCCATGCAAAAATGATATAATTTTGTTCCAAAATCATAATGCAAACCTCGAAATAGTCAGTACTTGACTACACTTAACAGAAAAACAACAAAACGATGTACTCAAGTGTGTTGTGTTGAAACTTCCACTGTTGTTTGATCCTAGTATGTTACTGCTAAAACTTAAAGGCAAAACTGGGTGATATTTTGGAACTTCGATGGGAGATCATGGCAATGGATGAAGAATTAGATTTCTTCGTACGTGAATGTTACGCTGAACCGGGAGGCAGCGCGGTGCGATCCGAAGAGAAATTACAACTTATTGCCGATGGGTTCGTTGCGCTCATTTCTTAGCTAAATTTCTTTGAATTTTTATCGGCGAATATCAGTGCTTCATCAAATACATTTTCAGATGTCCAACTGCGGCAGTTTCACAAAAACTGATACCGGGTCCAATTGAAGTGCAGTCATCAGCTGTCAAAATCGCGCATCTGCAAGCGTTCCGTTTTGATTCGTCGAGTACAGTTAGAATAACATGCCATCTGGATATATGCAAAGGCACTTGCGAAGAGGTTAGTTTCTGAAAACTGTCGCTCACTGAGTGTTATGATGTTGGGCACTTTCCGAAGTAAAAAATTAATAATAATAATAATAATAATGTTACAGGCAGTATGTCTTCTTGGAGGCGAAAAGAAGCAATCGTGGGGTCGTAAAAAGCGAAGTGATAGCTCACTAACAGATTGTGAGTGCTTTGACTCATATTGTTGAATGATTGTATGAGCACGCTAAATAATACAGTGCCTTTATGCTAATGAGTTTAGATGAAACACCAAGATATAAAGTACCACGACATGCACAAGCAACCACATCACTGATCGTTATCGATCCGTTACAACAAATCGGTGAATCTACGGCTCTCGCACGTTCACAGACATTCGATTTCGCAAAAGAGGTGCTTACAACTGCTTTTTTTTCATGTTATTTTTGAACGAAATCAATTCAGGAATGGACTGCTTTATCATTCATATACTGCAAAGGAACGCAATCAAAACGAATTCATTTCAGGACCCATCTTTAAGTATCACTTCACCACCTGGACAACTGTGCATGGCCAAAATGACATTATTATCAGTTTTTGGTTTACTGTTCGCATTGACTGCAATTCAGGCAGCAGTAGTGGCTCAATACGTCTTCCGAAGGCTTTTTGCATCACCAAAAAGTGTCTATTGATCTGAACATGCATTTGTATTTCTTATTGGTGAATGCGTTTCACTCCAATCATACATTTATCCATTAGATTGCCATAAGTCGTGACTGTTATTTGAAAATTCTTTGCACAAAACAATCATCCCGTTTCAAAAAACCGTTCTTTTTGCGAAAAAAACGTTACTTACCTCCATATTATCAATCAATAGCTTTAAGCCAAACTCCTCATTTATCCACTCGAATCACAACTCAATTAATAATTTAATCCACCTCCAGCCTCACTATTAAGACGACTTGTGGTTATAGAGCTGTAATTGCCTACACTCGCTCATCTCTTTCTGATTCGTAAAGGAACCAGAATTCGCTAAACAAAAGTGTACGGATACTGTAACTAAGCCTTACTTGCCATATACAAATAATAATAATAANAAGTGAGTAGTACACTAAAAATTTCGCGAATCTTGACCAGTCATCGTTACATCGACATACTAACGAGCGCAGCCAGTAATGAGCTGTTACAGCATCTGCATTGGTGCATCATATATGTTGATTGAAGCGTTGCAATTCAACTGAATAATAACTGTTTGCCAACAATATATACATTCCTCGTTTGGTATTCATGAAGCTTTTGCATTTGTTTTTCATCAATTTTGTAATGTTAACACTAAGTTGACAATAATAAATTTTATACTTATGCGTTATTACTTGATTACCCATTCACTCATCTTACAAACCTACTTATCAGTGCTGTGCTCCGAAGACGTGTTACGTTTCTTAATCTCGAGCACTAATCCTAAAAGATACCTTTCTGCCAATGACTGGGGACATTCTTCTCTTCGTTCGGTGTAAGAGACGTTATGAATGAACGTGCCATTATACTGCCAAGTTTGCAAGAAAAACGTACAAGGTATTCATAGAGCTTTCCAACAAAACATTTTCTTAACAACTCAGCAACAAGATAACGAACCAAAATAACAATAACGACAGCAAACATTAGATCATGGTTATTAAACACGATAAATCCCATCATCAGTTATACCTCAGTGATCGAACACAACAAACAATGAAACAATAAACAATCGAATTGAGCATCCATACCGAAGCATTGAAGTATATGCATGTACTCATGCAGCTCCAGTCAAACTACTAACAAAAACCATCCGCAAATGATAATGAATGACTTCAGTAAGAAAATAGCGCAATGAGTCCATCAGCGCCAGCAGTGACCAGCCATGCTTGAGTTGGATGAAATGTCACATCCAGAATGCTTAGATCATTATTTCCACTATGCGCCTTCAATCTCCGAACCGGAATCAGTTCATTCTCTTTGAACGAATCAACACTTACTTTTGCATGGTATATTATTGCTGACGAATCATCAGATACCGTCGCCAATAGTGGGTATCTTTAAAATGCATTATTTCTTGAACTGATTTTTAATTGGGTGATTTAAATATTAATAAATATATGATAACAGCAATGAAACTAGTAGAGCGTAAAGCTGGATGTCAATTACATAAATAAATATAATATAAATTCACTGTTCGCAAATGAAAACTAAAAAAGTGAACCTGTGATGATATGCGATAGAACGTATTGCAGCACTATGATGACGCACACTTTTCCAAGGTTTGTTCGAAAGTTGCAAGTCGATCCACGAAAACGTTCGATCCAATCCACCAACAAATAAATTCTCACCATGCACATCTGTTTGCATACAACTTAACCACCGTGAACCACTCATAATTTTCTTCTTCAATTGACATTTCGCCAGATCATAAATTCGTATATGACGCTGAGTCATAACGAAGAGTAACGGTTCACGCGGATGGAACAAAACACCAGTTATTGTTCCTTTCATCTTTTTGAACGGTGCCTACAAATAATTATTCCAGTTTGAAATGACCGACTGTGTTCATCAACGGAATGGGTACAGAATGAAAACCACCCATGTGTATATTGTTATCCACAAACCAAAGCGTATAAGTCTTATACCATCTGAACGAAAAACAATCCGTCATTTAGAACGGACACTGCTTATGAGCCAGGTTGTCATCCACAAATGGGAGTACTTCGTTTGAAAAATTACCACAAAACTATTCAACATATCGTTTCTTGTTTTAAAATTTGTATAATCCAAAAAGAGAAATGGCTGGATTGCTGAGTGAAGCGAACAATAACCTGTGATTTGCATTTGGAGAGCTGATGAATGTGAATTGCATCAGGCGAATTAGTTGGCGCGAATGTCGCAAAATAATCACCTTTAGCATGCCACACAACTCGATTTGCACTCTGCAACAAAATGAGAAAAAACATACCCGCAGATACATTCTAACTAAATCATACGGCCTCAGTGATTATCATTTATGTCACTTCATTGCTACCTCTCATCCAGAACAGAATCGCTTCCATTAAGCATTATTCCAGCTCCATTCTACATAAGACTAATATAACAAGATTTGCGAGTGACGTTCTATCGTTCCTTCGGAAAGGACTTTCATGTTAAAAATAAGAGCTTTCTTTTAAAGGAACCTAAATGTAATACTCGAAGGCATGAGGTAGGCAGAGACACCGCGCTCGAAAAAGCATTTCGTTAAAAAAGCAGATCATTAGAAGAGTCAAAAGAAACGAACATGTGGCAGATGAACTATTACTGTATGCGTTTCTGGTTGTTTACGCCAAAGTAACGAATTTGATCCCTGATTAACGTCAAGATCTAATAAAAGCTGTGTGGTGGCTGTGATATGATGATGGTCACCGCACTGTGTATTCATTATGAATACTTTCGACTCCACAACTGCTGCTAATAACGTCCGCTCATGAATCGGACACATCGCCACACTGTTAACAGCACCGTCCATTTTAACCGTCTGAACATGATAGCTGGTCAAGTCAGTTACGCTAATATTAGCACTGAAGGAGTGATATGCATTAAGAATAACTTTTTCCTTCAGAAGATGACACACCACAGATCTACCTCACTGACAGTATAGATAAAAGTTTGTAGCATTTCAATAGTGCTGTCATATGTAAACAAGATTTGAAAGCAAAACAGCTTGCCTTTAAACAACGACCACTAATAATTGACCATATTCGAACAGTCTTATCAGCACTTCCTGATGCAAGAAGCTCTCCAACTTCGGGTTCGAATGCTACGCTTCGTACTTGCCCTTCATGACCTCGAAGATACTTCAAACAAGAGAAACGATCAATATAACACATAATTAAGCGATGAAAAGCAAACAATGCAACGAATAATCAATCAAATTTTGAAAAGTTAATATTTGCATCGTTCCACTCGATTTGGAATTTCCTCAAGACTACAAGAAATGATCAAATAATGAAAAATAACTGGCGGCCGCCCGCTTTATTGAACATAATCCAGGCTAAAGAACACATCTCTTTCATGTACCTAAAACAGTGAATGAACTGAAAATAAAACTAACAAATGCGAGTGTCGTTGGGAACGGTCGGAGATCAGCTGGATTCGGAAGCTCTGGTAGAAGTTGAGAAGGATCAACGTTCAGCTGAGAAAAAAGAAGTCATCGAACCGAAGTTAAAAAATTGATTCTAATCAAGGAAATTGGCAAAACAATCCATCTTAATGTAGCCCAAAACCCATCCACAACAAATAACTGTTCGGAGGTGGTAAGGCAACAAATACGTTGTGCTATTCAGAACAGAGATGTGTGCTAAATGTTCAACATGAAATCAATGTTATTTTCTATTTATAACGCTTGTAATCGTGAAAACACGCTGAATACTTCTTCTCATTTTAGAACACTGCGCGTAGCATTTAATCGGTTCTATCAATGATCAATCGAAAACACTTACTTTCATTCGCTGTTGCCTTGGTGCCAAATACAAATCAAGACATCGCTCATAACGTTCGTTGAAGAAACGCTCATAGGCTGGCACTTTACGCAAGCAATCAAACTTTTGTGGTACAAAATTCAACCGTCGCTCTTCCGAATCCGCTTCCTCAAAACATTTTGTGACATTCATTTGAAAAAACATTTGCCGAATGCAGCTATTCCAAAACAATTTGACACGATAATCGACTTATCGACAGCAAGTCGATCAGAAGGCTAATCAAAGGAACTCGCTTAAAAAAAGAATGCAAATTTATGATCATTTTCTCATTTGATCAGCACAGAAAACTTCATCATGAAATATAGCTATTCATTAGAATGAGCAGAAATTTAAACGGCCTACCATCCACTTTTGCAGTTCTTCTTCGTTGAATAAATACTCAGCTGGAGGATTGTAGCTCTCCGCATTGCCAGGAAGAGCAACTTTTGGCGCTGGAAAATGCATTCGTATCCTTGCCAGCTCACTTTTAGTTTTATTCGTTGTCTCAGATTCAGCCCATAAATCATAAATCTGAAAATTACTGAGTATAAACGATTCATCGAACAAAATTGCCGAACGATAATTGTGAATTGCGAAATGTAAAAATTCGAATAGGCTGATAATGGCAAAATCCTTTACGAATACTCATCACTCCATTATTACACACTACAAACTGCCATCAAGAGAAACTCGTTAGTGAATAATGAAAACTTCAAATCGTTCTCGTGCAAGCTGATCTGTGTTTGTTTTTTAGAATTGCTAAATTTAAATCATTAACCTTAGGTGGCTCACGGGAGGGTCGAGGAGGTCTCGCCCAACCCATTTTAATCGCATGAACCATACGTCCTAAAAATGACAAAAACAACAATTTTGAAAATTTTCATTGATGAAGCAGAATTTAACTGCTTTAGAGTAAGTGATTCGTATCTGCCGAAGTTGAAATAAACACGCATTCATCATTTACAACTCCACTCTTTATTTCACACACGTTTTAACCACCTCATCCGAATCACCATAAACAAAGGAAGCATAGAAAAAATGCTGATAAACATAAAATTTCGAAAGCTATGTTCAACTACAGGGTTGATTATAATTATGTGTCTCCGACTAAGTTTACAGTTCAGTCTGATGACATCCCATTCATTCTTCGAGACGATACTTCAAATCAGACTATTAAATAACCACCCGAAATATAAAGTTGAAAAACAACGTAAACAAACACACCAACAAGACGTTTCTCATCAAGTGAAGGAATGAACGCCTGTTTTGGCTCAGGTCGATTTGATATGGGATGAATCTCGGTTTTGGATGAGAACAGATCAATAAACGGTTGATACGGATTATACCCAACATCAGGATAACGAGATGTTGTCATTGCTTCCAGCTTCGACACTTGTTCATCCGTGAGTGTTACGTAACCATTCGTCTGACGGTCAAATACTTTTCTCCTTCAATGACAATCCTATTCACACCGCTCCAATCTAATCAGCTTTACGATACGACAGTGTGAGAATAGCAAAAATTTTTTTGAAAGAGAATTACAAACACAGACAATTACGTTCGGGCGCAAACATTACAAATTGCACCTAGATAAAAGATGAACTATTTCATACCAGTAATCGGGATCGTCCATCTTCTCGATAAAAGCTTCCATCTGATCCTTACTAAGCGCTTTCGCAATCGCATTTCCATCCTTATCATAGCCAAAATGTGCGCAATCATCATACCACGAAACCGGTATATTACCAATGGTGTTTCTCAGATCCTGAAAGTTTTTCGTCCAACAGCTGTGCAGATGAATCGTTTTCGAACAAATTATTCGAAACAGCACTCAACCATTAACGATCGTTAGTAAGGATTCTAATACATTACGCAATACTAAAACTGAACCAAAACCATACTGCTAAACGATGAGGATTATCCCACTTACAGAAATTCATGCGTTTAACATCATCGATTGCAGGTTCAACAGCATCAAAGCATTTACTAGCGCATTCCAATAAAGTATACGAAATATGTATTTTCGAATTTCATAGTCGAAATGAAAACTTCACTTCATTTTCAACTACTCGGGACAAACGCTGAAAACCTATAAGTGCCAGAAAATCAGCCCTTTTTGACTGATGAAAAGCCTCAAGAAGGATAAATCACCTCTTCATCACTGGAATCAAATTGGTCCATTTGTCGTGTTTTTGTTTTTGCTTCATCGCTCACTACTACCGGCTCATTCGATGTTTTTCTACGACGCACCATCGAATCTGCAACTTGAACAACAATAAATGCATAACAATAAATGCTATAGACTGATTCATCTTCCAAAACATTACTGAGATGCCAACTGAACAGCATGCATTGCTGGTAAGAGATTCATCTCATTCAAAATGCACTGAACGATCGCAAACTTCAGTGCCCATCCAACGATGAGGCTACGCCTGGTCTGTACCTCATAATTTTCGATCATGCTAGTTAGTTCTTGTGGTGGAATTCACATTTCATGCGGTGTAAACGTAGAGTGTCTGTAAAATCGCTCGTTCATGAAATCTAGTCGTTGCATAGCTCGCAAAATTTCAGGCATGGCGAATAGGTTCTTCCCATTCACATAGATGAGTAGGAGAACGGCTTTATAAAGGTATCAGACACACTATTACGTTTTTCAGACATTCACAACAGGTAAACCTGATGAAGTGTTTATTGAGAATAAATATTTGAAATAAATTGCCATATTGTCGCAATTGTCATTTCATACTGTAAATAAATAAGCTCTAAAGAAGAAAACAAAACAATTTCACATTACAAAATTTCAAACAACTGCAGAAGCATCCAACGATAAAAATCCATGTCACCTGTGCCATAAAACTATACAAATACATGAAAAGAATCAATCCTACGAAAAAAATGAATGAAAAACGCCGATCACAAAAGTTGACGAAATCTGTAAGTTTACTCCCATAAAATGCGAGCATTACTAGTCAGTATAAGCTGATTGATGGAAAGACTATCGTCGATCTTTTTGAGAAAGATCGAACAATGTGTGCATACAAGTAAAGTGATATGATTAAAAATGGAACGTGGTATGCACAAAAGATTTCGATTTTATACGATATAATGATAACACATCCAAATAAATAGAAGCTCACAAACATTCGCAATGTTCTGGAATCATCTTAAATTCGTCGAATCATTTTTATCAACAGAAATACGAAACGCCAAAACCATGATCCCTCAACACAATCAAAACTCCTCAATGTCACGTTGCTTCAAACTTCCTCTACATGTTTACATTTATAATTACATAACTTTCAAATAATTTACAATTACATTTCCAATAGTTTTCACTCCCCATACCTCAACATTAATTTATTCTCTGAATCTGGAATTCACGTTAACATCCAATAAACATTTTGAAAGAATTATAATTACATATTCACAGCCAGTCGTCCATTTATGCAGGGCTTTCTTACTGACCGATATTCGACTATTCACATGAAAAACGAAGTGAATGAAAATGAAGATGATAATTGAACGAATGCACGAAAAATGCCGACAACACGCTGGACAATAACGAAAATTGTATTAATACATATTTGATGAAATCACATCAGCATCACTCAATCTTTATCACATTCTTCATTCCTTCCCTTCATCGATAAAACATCACATAAACAGATTCTTATCAACGTGTATATATTATGCGCCAACGCTACTGCAATGACGCAGCAACAAATCACAGGAATCTACAACAGTCCCGTAAAACAATCAACAAAAAAGGGGAAGATGTACCGTTTTGTAATGGATTTTTATCGTTTTGTAAAATTTTATGTACATCAATTCGAATGAAGGAAGATAGAAAAGACAGTGGAATGGAGAAAAGACTGAATATATAGGAACTTGAATGCGTGTGCACAAGTTGAGTGATGTGTCTGAGTTGACGATAGTTCATTTGGCAAAAAAGTATAAAACAAGTGCAATAATGGCAATAAGTAGAATGAAAAATATGAAAACAAAGAATTTCTTCTGACGAGCTTTTTGTTGATAGAATACTGCTCGACGGACATCAACTGCGCCCTGAAATTTTTTTCATACACTTTGATGTCATAAATTACTTATGCATAAAAGAATTTCACATCCATATGGCGTGCAATGCACTGACAGCTGTTCGAAACATTTTTGAAAGCTCAAAAAAGTCGAATTTCTCAGTGCTTTCACCCAGAACGCTACTCAATTTTATGGACAGAATGCAGCTGCACAGTTCCAAGTCCGATGAACTGAACCATCAATCGATTGGTGAATGAACCAAATTTACTACACCAACCTGTTGAACGTGCATAGCCGCATGTTCCACATTCGCCTCGATACTGTCCACGATTTCTCCTTGATCGTGAACAATACGAGCCAAATCTTTCATAATCTGTGTTACATCACCGATGTCCTGCTCTAATTGTCGCATTGTCTGAAAATGCACCCAAACTGTACAGTCATCTTAAAATCGTTTAATACGTTGCATTCATACAACCGAGTTGACCATTGCAAATAGAAAAGTTTTAATGCAGATCGACACAAAACAAGACAAGAAAAAAGCTCTCTCGAGAGCCACGTGCATAATCAATTTTACCACATGAAAAAACAAATAAATTGTTTGTTAAAAAATAACTCGAAGTAAGCGCTAACCTCGTTCCTATCTCTCAATTCATTCAAATGCTGCTGATGTTGAATTTGAAGCTGCCTTCTCTGTTGAATTTCTGTTTCAGATGATCTCTCAATCTGAAAATTATTTGACAAAATGCCCATTCAAGACACGACATTTTATAAAATACGTACAGGTATTCGAAGCGAATCATTAAGGCACAGGCTCACGTGAAGCTGATGTAAGATTTACCTATGTTGTTAATGCCATTAGTGTCGTCTTTCAAGATATTTATAATCGTAGTTACGGAATAAACAACCTGTTGGCTGACGTGTTCATCTTGAGCAGCAACTGCTTTCATGGTCTCTTTTTCACGAGTTGATGCACTTCGTTGAGCGCTTTGTAGTCGATTCAATACTGCTAACAATTCGCCCATCAACCTTTCTCTCTGAACCTTCAACGACGATACGGAACGCTGTAACAAGCTGACATGACTATAGCATCAGTTGACATTGAGAATTCAAAACGAAATAAATGATTAAAAAAGTGAAGAAAACCAACGAGATAAGATTGAAAATCGGTGTGGACGTTTCGACAGAAAAAAAAACCCAAAGTTGCGAGTGGTAATTCAGAAAGCATACCACTGGAATATGATAGTTCAAGACGGATGAAGCGGATTGATGATAGGAAAGAATTTGTATAGTTCAAGAGAATAAAGAGTAATGGTGAAATGAAATATGGGGATGAAGATAGGCTTAAACTTGACACGAAAATGACACGAAAAATAGGCTTAAACTTGCAAGCAAAATTTGAACAAATGATTTAAGTAAAATGTCCACAGAATTCAACCTAAAAGACATGAACATAAATTCGGTCAAAGAGATTAAATTATTGAAATAACCATAAGACTTGTTGTATGTGTTCACCGACTGAACGACTAAATTGGATAATACTCGATTTACACTGATATTATCACGGTGTTTGTAATCGGTTAGAAGAACGAGGTGGATAAATGGATAAAGGAACGTAGTTCATACATTTTCATTTGAAAAGTTGACGAGTTTCTTCATTAACATATTCGTTTCCTTGCTTAGCTGATTAGCTTGTGCCGTAACGTCAGCAATTGATTCCCGTAAACGTTCACCATCTTCACCACCTCCGATTTTTGCAACCAACACTTCCAGTTGTTGTACTGAAATTATCTTCATTTCCATATTAGAGTGGTTCATGGCAAATTTATAGAATAGGTCAATCAATCAAACAATGACATGATTCCTCATGAACGGATTTTTTTATTCCATGTGCACTCATAAGAAATGAAATAAACTGCACTAACCATACTGACTAAGTCGCTGAATATTGATACTAATAGACGAGCTCAGCTGATTTCCTTCACCTCCTTCAAAATCCATTCTCTGCAAGAGAAACACTTGAGAAACGCCTAATTGAAATGAAAATGATCCAACATGAAGATCGATATCATTGTGAAACTCGTAGGCAGTGCAAATCAATCGATAGAACATGCGATGGGTGATAACAAAAGGAGCATTATTCCATCGCATAACAATCACAATGCTCCTAGAATTCAACCATACAAACCTTACCTTGGGTAAGGTTTGTATGGTTAAATGAATATAAATCCAGTTAGAGAGATTAAATCATTGAAATGGCTATTACAATTATTTTGCATGCTTACCAATAAAACAACTAACTGTAGCAGAATGACATATCAAATTTCATGCCGTGGAGTCAGTGAATGAAAAAAAATTAAAATTGAGGAAACGGAATAAACGGAAGAGTAATGAGCAAAATTCACTTGCTTCGCGTAACCACCTAGTCTATACCGCTGCTTCAGTGTTTAAATTATGAAATAATCCATGAATGGCCATCTATCAACTTGGCCATCAAGATGGTGTATTATGAACTTTCCAAGAGAATTAAAAATTCTTTTTAAGATATTCTCGTCGAAACCAAAGGAAGCATTACGATCCTGTTTCGTGATAATTCTACGCATAACAGACTTGCAGATGTTAATGCATCCAAAAACCGGAATTGAAAATGGTGCAAGAATACATAAAGATCGGTTGCAATTCGACTCACATCTTTTGAGTAATACAGCTCGTGACAAATTCTATCACCAGATATTTTTTTGGATGAGTCATGCGGTGATCACACACGCATGTATCGTAAGCATTGGATTAGTGTTGTTGTTAACTGAATATGTGTAGTTATTCGTGGACTGCTTCGAAACTCAACAAACGCCTACAACAGTGGTTCTTAGCCTTTTTTTCTAGTCCGCAGCCCCTACAAAATTTTAAGATGTCCTCACACCCCCATAACAGTATTTAAAATGTCCCCTGTTATACTCCTCACAACTAGTGTTTGCACGAGATCTCGATAATACCGAATATCGGTACTAGGAAAGCAGTACCGATCTTGGGATTCGTTGTGTCGATATCCAGGGTATTTACGGTATTCATGCCATGAGACATTTTAAGTGAATTCGGTAGTATATCCATCACGACTGGAGCATTGAGTGAAAGGAAGCGTAGTGAGACCATTTTCATAACACTTTTTTTGCTTAATTTTTTATTAAAAGCCTTGGTGAGTGATTTGTCAAATACATTGTTTTCTGAATAATTATGAACAAACTGTCTCAAAAAGAATATGTTGAACAAGTCATCTCCTTGTTTCAAAAGTTGCTCTTCAATACCAGTATCGTATAGGTATTAAAAAACGATACCGTATTAATACCAATCTCGGCATTTAGAAAATGGTCGACATTTTGCAAACACTACTCACAACACCCACTTCGTATATTCATACACCACAGTAAGTGTCTGTATTGTAGATAAATGCGCACCATCAGACTGCGGTCTAGTCTTTTCAAAAATATAGTAATACGCACACTTCGCCAATTATGAACGGAGTGACAGTTCACCAAGTGACGGAAGTGGGATTTTCATTTGACATATATTCAGAAGTGTGAACTTCTTACCCATTCAGTGGGAATGAATCTGGCCCATTCATATATCATTTTGTAGCGCAGATTCAGGAGAATAAAACATAACTAACATATTCGTCAGTAATCGAGATATGTTCGAGATTTTCGATTTCGCGTTAAGTGCAAAAATTCAACAAATAATTTGAATTGGTACCCACTCGACAGGAAAAAATTTATATTCGTGATATATAGCATGTTGTAACCGAAATTGAGTACTACAGAAATCAATTTTAAATTTCGTCGCCAATTGGTAAGATACGAGAGTTAAAACGCTCGGCGTGAGCAATGGTGATGTTCATGGATCACAATTAGTGACCTCTATTCCAGTCAAACTGTTCTATTCCTGTTCTGTTCCATGGAATAGAGTAGAACTGTTTGCAACTGAGGAAGGAACAGTTTGGAACAGAATAAAGCCGATTTTGAGCCCAAAAGAACACAATAGAACTGTTTTCAACAAATTTTGGGTGTTCCTTAATCTGTTCTTTTTGAATACTGCAGTGAGATGAATTACCATTGTTGTATTATTGTTATATTTATTATTATATTTGCTATTTTATTTGTATATTTTATTGTTATTACTATCGTTATTATTATTGTTATTATTATTGTTATTATTATTACTGTTATTATTATTGTTATTATTATTGTTATTATTATTATTATTGCTGCTGATGAACAAATGAGTATGCGTTGCAATGCGCATTTTGATAAATAATAATGATAGTAAGAATAATATTAATAATCATAATAATAATAAGTGATGAAACAACTCCTCAAGGGCAAGTTATTGCAGTTAATTCTCAAAGCTGCCAAAGACTGTTTGTAAGGAATTCCCTGCAGAGACAACTGAAGGATATGCCTGTGATTCTGAATGAACACCCTGTTTTCAAATGTTGGTCGCACTCTAAACTCTGAAAGAAATTGTTCATGCGTCAGTTTGGAACCGAAATAGTTTCTCAAGTAATTCAGTGCTTATAGCTGTTGGGACGAATCGAAACCCTCTGTTCTTCAAAGATGCTGATTACCAACGCTCAAAAACCTCCACTTTCCTGCAGTCGTCACCATCAAAAGCTGTCAACCGCCTGCGTGGACAATCTTCTCCCACCAGAGACAATCTCCATTTTGCCCTGCAAATGCCAAAAAACCACATTTCGAACCCTAATTACCAAAACTTTTATCGTGTCGCTTTTCTGACTGACGGAACAGAATAGACCAGTTTAGAACAGTATAGCACAGTTTAGGGGGGTAGATTAGAATAGAATAGAACAGTTCTCAAACGAGAAACGCACAGGATAGAATAATAGAGCCATTTTGGAGCGGAATCGAACAGAATAGAACAGTTTTCAAAAACGTGGTCACAACTGGCATGTATAGTGAAGAAATTGAAATTTTCTCTACGAAAATTAGGAGGAATGTTGTATACCATGTTGTAGCCGAGATTGAGTATTACAGAAATCTTTTTTAGATATTGTAATTCTCTCTCTTGTGAATATACAAATAAGCGCATTTTGAAGATAAGATAAAGGAACAGGACAGACCGTGGTCGGGCCACATGAAAGAATTACATACGGGTCAGGTAAAACCCACGGATGTCGATATCATTTCGATCGATAGGAACCTGCAACGCCGCAAGATGAAAGAGGGACTGTATATCCATAAACTCAAACCCGATGTTAATGTCCGACAAGAAATGTCTGAGATTTATAAACAAATGAGATATATAAACATCAATACAACATGATTGGAGCATCGGTTGTTATCACTGATCATACGTCGAGTATTAAGGTGTTCATTCCCAACAATTCTCGGTTATCATCATCATCCTCGTCACTAATTCGAGCGTTGTAGAGGGGAGTCGGCGACGTGACCATCGTGGGGCCCGATGACCGCTGCCACTCTAGTCCCACGGATTGCTTCCGCCCGCCTGACTCGCGGCGCTCGACTGATCCGGGGGCTGTTGCATGTGAGCGCTTCCTGAAATTTCAACATATCATTGTCTAGGTCTCAAATTGTACTTGTGTTGAGTTGGAATCGGTTGCTCTATCGGCACGTCCGATTGCTCGTATGAATAACCCGGGAGATTCGTCTGCTCTTCCGCGTTCGCGTCTCTCAGTTTGCTACGCTCCTCTTCCCCTATTGTGGGTAGAGTGCACACCGAGTCCTCAATATTAACGTATTTCTTAATTTGATTCAGTTGTACTCTAAACGGGTTAGCATGAGGCGTTGAGCAGTTAGCTATGACGGCATGAGGAACGGTGATATCGGTTACTCGATAAATGCCCGTCCAGGGAAGGGTCGCCAGGTTCCAATACATTACGTCGTAGCAGAACACAATCTCCGACTCTGAGCGATGTGTCCTGGGTATTCCTATCATATACTATTTTCATTCTGTCCTGCGCCTTCTTATTCTATTCATAAGCTATATTCCACTCTTGCGGTAGGGAGCTAATTGGATTGAATTTAAACTCCACGATATAAGTGTCAGCGTTGACTTCATGTATACTCGGTTTGAGCATACTTTATTCTTTTAAAACAGGGATCGCGCCCAAACATAAGAAAGAATGGGCTTTCTCCAGTCATCTCGTTCATTGAGGTGTTGTAACAGAATGCTAGCTAAGGTTTGATGAATTTTGATGAATTTCTCCCAAAGAAAACGGTTAGCTCGAAGATCGCAATGTTTTTCTGAATGACGAGATATAGCTGGATCGACTGATGCAAAAAAATTCATATGTTAGTGAGTAAACTTGAGCTTACGGTAGCCTTGAAGGTGCCACTCCAGATAGTATTAATAAAATGCCTATATCTCCTCAAGTAAGCAAAATTACTCAGTTAAATTGATAATATTCTGAATCTAGATATCCTGCTGGATCGAACGGTGAAAAGAAATTCTTATGTTTCCGGGCAAACCTGAGAAGACGGTTAGCTGGAAGATCGCAATCCGCCTATTGCTAATATGAACGTATCGATATCTCTATAGTGATATATTTACATGAATGAGCGCGACTGCGCTATTGAGTGGGACATATCTCCAGAAAATGGCTACACACCACCTCAGGAAAGTAAAATCACTCAAATTTGTCCACTGACATATGAATTTTTTTTGCATCATTCGATCCAGCTGGATCTCGTCATTCAGAAAAACATATATTTTGTCGAGCGATCTTACTTTCCTGAGGTGGTGTAATCATTTTCTGGCACTTTTTTACTTTGGGGGGTCGCACGCAAGCACGCTCGCGCATACCACGCCTACTGCGCATGGCCTCAGCCTAAAGTAAGTGTGACCTCAGCCTCATCTAAGCGTAGCCTCAGAACGCTCGATGCTACAACATAAGCTAGCAAGCGAGCTCAGGCTTAGGCTTAGGCTGAGACTACGCTTAGGCTGAAGCCATGCGCAGTAGGCGTGGCTTCGGTTCTTGTGAAAGCGTTGTTCGTAGTGTGCGAGCGTATGTTTTATCATTGTGCGCGAGCTTGCTTGCGTGCGACCCCCCCCTCCCCCTCCCCAAAGTAAAAAAGTGCCCATTTTCTAGGGATATATCCCAATTCAATAGCGCAGTCGCGCTCATGCATAACCTACAGATCATATTCTGAAGTATTGTTCGTCGGATGACGAGATCTCCGACAGAGGGCAATTTCCTGGCCACTTTGCTCCGACAGAGTCCACTGGCCAAAAAGTTGCACCCTGACTAACATTACTGTGAACTATATGGTTACAACCTAAACGACTTACAAACTAGAGGTTACAATGTGAATCACTGAATAACTCGGGTGACTATGAGGAAAACTTGCTCCTTACAATTTCCTCATCATATCACCTTAAGAAATAATTCCCTACACACCTTATTAAGCGGATAAAATCTTGAAATATCTTGAAAACGGATAAAAATCTTGAAATAAACGAATAAAAAGAACAAGCAGTGCAAATTTGCCTTTGTGCCAAGTGTGGCAACCTGTCACTGCTGAACGAATTAACTTGCCTTTCAAAAGCGGGAATTTGAAAATTTCTAGAAATAACCGTCACAGACGACCCAGCCTAATCGTTTCTGGGGGCCCACTGACCGCTAGACGGGTGCCGAAGTGCCGTTTCGCGAACAGGGGCCCAAAAAAGAAAAGCCTGATTTCCACTTCTATCTCCGGGTAGAAAACGTCTTAACAACCCTGAATGATCCGAGCTGACAAGCCATTTACTACCCAAAGCAC